AAGAACAGAGAGGTCGGCAAAGACGGGAAATGCTGTGGTGGATGTCTGCAGCACCACACCATGCCTCATGTCATGATCCATGAACATGTGCTGGATGGCATGTTTCCAAAGCACAGTGAGGCCGCCGATCCGATCGCAAAGAGTGCTTCTCAGTATACACAAAGGGAACCAAAGCCACTCCGAGGCCAGATCTTGCCCGTGCTGGACGATGGACCAGTAGATGACTTGTAGTTTCCTGGCATTCAGCGGTTTTAGCTGATTGCCGGGACTAACTTCATCAGCATATATAGCGATGCCCAGCTTGTCTCCAGGGCTGGACTGGCCACACTTTTTGAGCAGTCCATGGTAATGCTCGTTGGCGATGCAGTGCTGCAGCAGCACAACAGGTGGCACGAAGGGAACCCTTACAAATTTCGTGTCATCGCTCTCATGTGGGATGTCCATGTTAATGATCATCTGCCCAAAGGCATTCTCCCACGACTTCTCTTCACCATCCCTCGCTCGCTTAATCGAGGCTCGCGAGGTGGTAGCAAAATCGTCGGCGAGGAAACCGGTCTTCTTCAAATCGCTGAGCACGGATTCCAGACCTCGTTGTGATACAAACACCTTCCTCCCCAGGCTTGCCAAAGGTTTGGAGCTGGAGCTGGATGTCATGATTCGGGCAATGCCCAAGCTTTGCAGGAATTGGTCCTGGCCACGAGCCAAGGGCCCTGCAGCACGGACTCTTTTAGTGTAGCTTTGTTGGCGATTTTCCATGCATGGATGAACTGTCACACACATGTAAAGTTTGCAGCACAATACTCCGAATATATTATGATCGAACCCCAGGAACCTTCAGCTTTAAAACACCAACAGACTACACAATACATTTCCTATATGTATACATTATATGATATACAGACCCACTATATGTATAGTTTAAACTCTATATATAAATATGTACCAATCGGAAACCCCGAACCTGTATATAGGCTCTGAGATATACACTATGAACCCTTTCACGACACACATCCTCTATAACACTGCACAGGAGCTCCAGCTTCCATTCCATGTCACATGTCAGGGCACACATGCATCGGCCACATTTTGAGATGCTCTTGCTGCAGCCCGTGTGCAGCCGGACTTCATAATGCATGAGTGAGAGTGCCTGAGACACGATGTGAATCAGGAGTCTCTACTTCAAAAAGCAACTAGGGCAGCAGCCTCGCTTCCATCGGCACTTTGCACATCCTGATGGCCTCATTCGAACTCGTTCATCCCAATCCGGAACCTTCTTGGCACCCTTGGACTTGGGGGCAGCCTTGGCCTTGGTCTTCGCCTTCGCCTTAGCCTTAACCATCGGCTTCGTCGTCGCCTTGGCTTTGGCTTTGGCTTTCGCCTTGCACATGCCCTTCGCCTTTGCCTTGGCTTTGCTCTTTGGCTTTGCCTTGCCCTTCGCCTCGGCCTTCTCGCTGCCACCCTCCGGATCACCAGCCTTGCCATCCTCGGCTTTCTTCTTGTTCTCCTCTTGACGATTCTTCCAGCTGGAGAGCATGGTGTTCACCTGCTCTTCCGGAGTCATAGGCGGCTGAGCTTGCTCCGGCTCTGCACGTGCTGGACTCGATGCTGCATCGGGTCCATTCGTGATTGCGAGGGTTTGCTTCGGCGGGTTCGTCTTGGTGTTGTTCATGAAGATGTTCTGCTGGCCGGACATGCCAGCCTGCTGTGCACCTGCGAAGACATTGAACATGTGCTGCATGCTCTGGAACCCTTGCATCATCATATTCGCCATGTTGTTCTGCGAAGGCACCTGAAGGTCTAGAGTAGGAACCTTCTGGTTGTTCTGGCTCTTCAACATCGCAGAAGACTTTCGAACTGGACCGATGGAGCCACCCAGGCCGGCATGTCCGGACGGCCCTTCCTCACCATATGCTCTCGTATACACATCGGAGGGTAGATCTGCCGGTGTCGTGAAGTTGTGCACATGGCTCGTCGACCCACTGGGATTGGACTTGAAGTGCGACTTCAAGGCTGCTTTGAAATCCTGAACTGTGTTGTAAAACACTTGAGGGTCCTCGAGTTCCTTGAGGCCAAAGTCGTTCTTGAGCACTCCCACAGCTCGGCCCGAAGTAGGCTCCGTCGGGCAGCTGCAGTTGATGCTGCAAAACATCATGGCCATCCGACTTGCCTTGGCCTTAATGGTGTGGTCTGGGTTCGAGATGAAGGTCACATCCGAGGCCCGGAGGAAACTTCCCGGGTCGTCCATGGTCTGCATGGACTTCTTGCTGCCCTGTGATTTGGGTGTGCTGCATGCCACGAAACGATCACCGATCTGCCGCATCAGCTCGTCCTTCTGACTCTCGCTGAAGTTCAAGGACTGCACCGTAGCGAACAGTGTCTGGACTTCTGCTGAATCCGTGAGCCGGAGACCCGAAATCTGCTTCTTGGCAGACTCCATACAGGACTCGATCATCCGGTCTTTCGTTGTCTGGTCTGTCATGGTCTCTGCGAGTGAGGAGATGGTGAGCAGTTGGTCGCCCAAGGCTTTCGAAGTCGCCATGCCGGAAATCTGAGTGTGGAATACCACAAAAGTGTTCGAGCACTCCACGCATGCACGTGCAGCCATGAAGGAGGCAATGCATCATGGATGTATACAATGCCATGCATGCATGCATGTGCTCCCTTTTGAAACACCCATGCAATGCATGTTCCTGCCTGCGAGCTTCTACAGCCCTGCGAGACGAATTGTGAATGTGTGATCTATATACATGCCATGTCATCTGCAGTTTCAAAGAAGCACACATGCGAGCACTCCAGAGTGCCAACCGGCTGGATCAAAACGAATGCCCCCTGTCGGTACATAGTGCCAATTAAGGTATACAATATGTAGCATCATATACACAAGCACCAGTGAAGGCAGACTGTGGAATCGACCGAACATAGCAACACAAAGAAAGCTTCAGACTGCATGCGACATGCACTCGACCCTCCCTATGACTTCTGCGGTCGCCAGCATTTTCCTTCAAACTCACACCTGCTCAGCTAAGTCTTTCTGTACAAGGCAAGAGACTTCGAGAAGGGCGCCTGGCATGGGAGCTCGCATCTGTATACTAAAGTAGATGTAAGAATATACATATATATATATATATATGGCTATATGGACAGCTATAGATATCTATGGAGGAGAGCAACAAAATACTTATATATATGTATACGTGAATATATATATATATATATATATAGAAGTATATAGAAGTATATATAATATCTATATATATATATATAGAGATATATATTCCCAGCTCCCGTAGTCTACAGGCGAGGCCCGAGCCGTGCTGTACATGGCTTGCCAACGGTGCAGGATTACACCCAGCCACTCCTACAGTATAGTGTGCGGTCCGAAAACCCAAATATGCAGCAGCATGCACAATCCTGTATAGCAGCAGTTGCAACAGGCACCCGAAATATAAAGCTGCTATCGGTGTTTGTGTGTGTACCTCATGCACATGCCCGTCTTCCTATGTCCGAGAATCCTTCTATAAAGTCACATATAGTTTCTACATCACAAGAGAATAAGAAACATCTAATATAGACACATGCATATATGTGTACAGCTACATGGGTTGTACACATACATACATATACAATATATATATATATATATATATGTCTGCACAGACATATCTACATGGAGTATATAATGCCCATATTCTAGATATACATACATACATATCACACATACAGACCTATATATACATAAACCACGATCCCTCGTCCTCCGAAAACAATGTATATGGTATATACCCCAAATATACACAGTGTGGCTATACATGCATATAGCAATACCCTCGTACATCTTAGATGATATAATGTACAAGCACAAATCGTATTTTCCTGAACACAGAAGCCCGTGAAACCAGAAACCCAGCCCCCCAGGCCGCCAGGTGCACGAACCAGAAGCACGAAAAGTCTGAACCCCAGGGTCACGACCACTAGGCGAAACCCTCTGCTGCTGGGCTGGAACAGATCTGCACCGGGACAACCCCGATGTTTCCAAGACCCTGCCACAAACCCTTTGAAGCCTGCCAGGGTAAAGGTTTCAGATGGTTCGGGGTTCGGGGATTGGGGTTGATGGTTTGGGAGCAACGGTTTAGGAGTTGTTTTTTGATTTGAAGTTGGGGTTTAGGTTTTCGGTCACAAGGTAATAGATCTACAGCTGGGAATCACCATTTTTATCGATCGATAAATTTGGGATGGGTCCAGGGCACCGAGATTTATAGATTGATAAATCTGTTGGTGTATTCTAAGGCCTGGGCCTACCATTTTTATTGATCTATAAATCCTGGGCTGGGGTTAGGCTACAATTTTTATCGATCGATAAATCTGGGCTAGGTCCAGGGTCCCGGGTTTTATCAATCAATAAAAACCGGTCTGTGGCCAGATCCCATACATCGGGCTGTGCAGCCAGCTAGGACACCGCAACAGCACACGAGGACCTAGGTCGGAAAGGTTGGGAAGACTGTGCTCCGAAGCCTTTGCGAGTGCCTATACAGCACTGTGCCAGTGCCTATGCAGCAGTGCCCCACTATTGCCAGAGTCCTTAGGCTACAGTTTTTTAGGAACCAGCACCGGCTCCCCAACCCCCTTTGAGAGGCAAGCCCCGCCGGCGCCAATTTCAGGCAGCCCACCGGCTCACTTGCCGTGGCCACCAGCCTTGTCCTGCCACCGAAACACAGCAGCAGGGCAGTGCTCGCTGCTAGTGACTGCATGCATGGGTGGTGCACATGTAATGTCACGAAAGCCTGGTCCAGCATGTGGTCGATGAGCCTCGCCACACTTTCGGACTGTGTCGAGACCTGAGAAGACATTCTTGTAAGGTCTGGGGCTTAGGGTGTTTATGTGGGGTTAAGTGCATGCTGGGGCACCACCGACCATGCCAGATTCGCCGCCCCCTGGCCCCGACTCCTGGCTCTTGTCCGGCCAGCACCAGGCCTCATCCAAAAGCTTGCTGGTTTCTGTTTTTATGAACATGCATGCAGTCCTCCTTGAGTGCCGGGCGGGTTCCACTTGTCGCCATCATGATAAAAGCCGCCCACCCTCCAGCCTGAACCGTCCTTCTGGACGACCCCCGAAGGCGGAGGCGGCGGTGTGCTCGAGGACGAAGCCGATGGGTTCTAGCAAGGACAGCAAACAAAAACCCACGAAGGCATCAAGGAGACCAGGCAGACCCCTCCTTGGCGGCTGGAGCCGGGGGTGGCGGTGGGATCCATGGCATTTTGCCCTGGCAAGCAGGCAATGACAAGGCCCCCCCCCGCCCATCTCAAGAAAACAAGAGGCCTTCTTGGATTTCGGCGGCGGCTCCTTGGGCTCGGCCGGCTTCTTGCAAGCCTGCCATACACAACATGTTTTGTACACCGCAACACACATGCAATCTTCGCCTTGACCGGGATCTCCCTCGGCCGCTTCTTCGGCTTAGGAGGCATCCATTCCTCCCGAAGTCGTTATTTTAAATGCAAGACCACGAACACAGCGACACTGTCCTTCTTGTCGGGCTCCTCACATGTAACCTCCTCCATCTCGTCGTCTTCTTCCTGGTTGTTTTGAAAGTGCAACTACAACTCACATCGTTCAACCTGGGCACTGAGTGCAGTACCTTTGGCCGATCCGGCTCCTTTTCCTTCTTCATCACCTCGTAGTCCTGGGCATCGATCTCCTCACACCAGATCGAAACACACATGAAGTTCACTTCTTTGCTCTATAGGCCCGGGCCTGGAGCACAAGCTCAGCAGGGCACCACGTGCCCTCCCAATCTTGGCACAGCCAACCTGCCGAGACTGAGATAGCACAAATAGGCTCGGGGTTGGGGGTTTTCATGTTTGATTGAAGGCTTTTGGCCTTTGTGGTTGTGCTGTATAGTGTGTATATATAGTTTATAACATATATGTATGTGTATATATATATATATATATGTATGGGCATATATATACATATATATATGTCTCGCACATACATACATACATACATACATACATACACACATACATGTGTATACAGATGTGTGTGTATGTATAAATGTATGTATGTATGTATGTATGTATATATGTATAAACACAAATATGTAAAAGTTAGGAACCTGAGCGCCTTTTCTGTGTACACATGCTGCACACCTACATTATAAGATATAATATATAACATCATATATTATATAAACCATAAACCATGAACCCGTATATACCCTAAACTCTACAAAACCCGAAACCCTTGAAAACACAACCCTGTAAAAACCTGCATGCCTTCGGTCGGGGGTGTCTCCTCGCGGCTCTCGTGCTTGTAGAGGAGGTTGCCTGCAGAGAAGAGACGATGAAAATGTGGGACAATGGCACATCCCCGGCCTAACATGTCGAGGATTCTCCACTTCTTCTTCTGCTTGTGCCAACCGAGGATGGCTGAGCTGTTGCTCCATGTGGCGTCCTGCATGGAATAAAAAAGGATGCCCTTTTTGGTTTAAAGGGCCTTATAAGGGAACTGTCCTCGTTCGGCAGCAACACCTCCAGGAGCCCGCACCGATCAAAGGCCCACCATTGCGGTGAGTCCTGACCAGCACACACATCTTTTTGGTTGCATGGGAGACAGGAACCAGGCCTCCGCCACATCAGGGCTGATCATGCAGCTATAACCCGTGCACGACATGGTCTACAGGCTACAGCTGCACACGAAAAAAGCTCGAAGCCTGAGCCACATGTCAACCGATACATGAGGAGACCGATGCACGTGCACAGAACCGAGCACCACGAGGAAGCAAGCACTTGCAGCAACCGGCATATTTGGCACATGAAGTTCCTGCATGCCAGCGAGAGAAAATTATGCGATATGTGCACACATGTATATATGTTCCTGCCAACGAGCAAATTGCCCTGCTGACGAAAACCTACTTCCTGCAGGCCTTGGCCCTTTTAGGCTTGATCGTCTTTCGTGGCTTGGCCTCAGAATGCTTGAAGCTGGTCTGGATGTGCTTCACGACATCGTCCTTCAGTTCCAGCCACATAGTCCGACTGCCCACCCCCTCGAACAAAGTTCGGCATTGGACCTTGTTGCCACCCTCGGCCTCGCCGGGCAAGTCAATCTGAATGCTGTGGGGTGCATAAATGTCATGCTTCTGTGTAGCTTTGAACTCCTTGGTTTTCTTGGTCTTCTTCTGGGCCTTCTCCGGCTGTGGGGCTTCGTCATTCTCTTCATCCTTGAGTCTTTCGGAGATAGCCTCGTTGAATGCTTCTTGGCGACGGGCCAACATGTTCTCGAAGAAAGGTGTGTTGAGTGACAAGTTTTGATTGTCCGTATTCTTCCTCAGATCCAAGCCCTTGCCGTACACGAACCGAAACAATCCTCGATCCCACTTGCTCACTTTGAACCATGTGACTCCCTCGGCCGTCTTTTGTTCCGGGATCCAAGTGAGCCCTGACCCGTATGTGACGATCTGTTTTGTCACCACCGTGGGTGCGGTCATCTCCTCATCTTCCTGCTCCATGCTGGCAAAGCTACGAAATCACGGATGAAGCTGGAGCTGCAAAACTTCGTGAATGACATGCAATCATGAATGCCATGGCTTTTGGCGCTTTTACATGCAATCGTGCTCGCAGTCATGCACACTTGCACACATACACGGGCTCGGGCATCTTTCCTGCAGGCTGCAAGTGCATGTTCTTTCATGTGCATGGATCGTGGTGGGCAGCACAGCTGCTGCATGGTTCAAAGCAATGGAGGAAGTGCCCGTGAGCTCTCTCGGACAGCTGCACACAAAATGGCATGGGATGCATCACACTCGGGCTTCAGGAGTCTCCCGGCTTCTTGGAGCAGATTCGCTTCCTTGGCGGGGTGTCAACCTGCAAGGCCTCGACGTGCACAGTCTTCTCGGCCTTTGGCATATACAGCACATCGTCCTGCTGCAGGTCCAGGGTGTTCTTGAGGATGGGGAGTTGAACCTTCTTGTCTCGATTGGACTTGACATGCGAAACCTCGCAATTCCAAGTGTCACTCACGGGAAGCGGCTGCACAAGGAATGCAGGATTGATGAAGCCAGCATCCCCTTCGGCTTTCGGAATCTGAATGAACGAAACAATCCAGAAGAAGTAGTCACTCATGGGGGTGATGATATCGAAAATCGCATCCTCGGGCTTCTTCTGACCGTGCTTGATCGTCAAACCCATGGGGACCATGATGAGCTTGTTTTTCGGGATGAATGCCGTGGCTTGGACTGACTTACGAGGCTTCAAAGTGACCCTGAGCTTCTGCAGCATGGGATTCGTGTCGTGCTTTTGCATGAGCTCATGCATGTCCATGTACAAGCATGCCAACAGCATCTGTCGCTCGTATTCGGGGAAGTTCAAAGGCGAATACACTGACAAGTCATCCACCGTCTGGGGTTCCGGCTTGGGTGTGTAGACCTGCCAGTGGCCTGCGAGAAAGCTGTCGATCGACACCCGCACTACGGACCCCGAGGGCTGCTTCAGCTTGACACGGCCAAGCTCGATCGCCGTCACCTGGCCAGTTTCCTGATCCGCCTTGCGACGGACATATTGGCCGACTGAAAAGCCGGACTCAATCCTTCACCGAGCCGTCGGAGCTCAGCTCCCTCATGATGGCCATGGGTGCTCCCACCTGTTTGGAACCCGATGCCTCACCCGAATCTGCGACCTTGTGTGCCGCCCAGGGCCCATTCAGGTCTGTTTTGAGGATGCCTTCCAAAATCAGGACGAGGTCATGGGCGAGGGATTGGCTTGTCTTATATTTCTTCAAGTCTTCACCGGGCAACATCACATTCAGGGTGAAGGCAGCCAAGGACATGTCCCCATAGGACAAGCAGGTCTGCACTTCGGGTTTCATGAGAAGCTCTGCACCATCCGGCAGGGCCGTCACAAGCTTTCGCCACGTGCTCATGATGGTGTCTGCCTCCTTGACAGAGGCCGTTGAATCCTTGTGCAACATCTTCTTGCACTCGGCAGACCCCACAGCTTCTTTGCAGTATGCAAGCTTCACCTAAGAGCAGCAGCAACAACAACAACAACTAGCAACCTCGGCCTTGCAATCCCATATGTGACCTGTACATGCATGCATGCTTGTATGAATCAAGTGGCCATGGCATGCCGGAACCGTGGGAATTGGTTGGAACCTTTGACATCGGCACTGACCTTCTCCCAGAAACCAGGTCCCAATGAACGTGTGCTGGGGGAATGCAACCTAACGAAGGTTTCAGTCTCGTTGAGCAAGAACGGATCTGTGCCACCCGCAGTCTTCAACACGAAACTGTAAAGATGCGGCATGGACTTGCCATGCACGGACTTCCCCGTGGTGACTTTGCTCTTCAGTGCCAGGAAGTCCACAGAACCCTGAGAGCTCATCTGGACCCAAGTCTGATGCAGCCGTCTCATCAGTTGGAGCTCGTGTTCGCCACGGTGAAGTGTGGCGTTTCCCATCCTTTGGACAAGTCCCAACAGCTGCGGCAGCTGGGCAGCGACGTGCTTTGACAAGATCTTCCAAACGACTCCTTCGCGAACCGCCCTCGCGAAGTCCGGATCGTGCTTCCGAAGCAGCTCCATGCTGAGTCTTCCATCATGACACACGGTCTCGTCTCCTTCATGCATGACCTCATAGTGGAAGCACCGCAAGACCGAGTTTGTGTGTGACCCTGCCAGGGAGAGTGCTTTGATCATCGTGGGCTCCAGGGGCCCACAGCGATCATGCATGCTTTGGAAGAGACGGACATTCCAATCGATGTCCTCTTGCCCAGTTGGCTCATGGGCGATGGCCTGGACCCTGGCATCAAGCCAGCCGGCTTGAACTATGTCGCCCAGAAGATCGTGGACATCTACGGGATTAATCCCGCTCCCGTCGCGGTTCTGGGAACTGATCCCGACCATGGTCGGTTGAAGCTGCATCGTGTAGACGTGGCCCTGCGACTCAAGCTGGCTGATAGCCGCATGCACCGTCTTTACAAGTCGATCGCCTTCTTGCACCTGTTGCAGCTTGAACGAGATGTCCGCAACGAGATCAGCAGACAAAGCCATGCTGTGTTTCGGAAGCGGTCGGTGTGTGTGTGCAGTGAGTGCTGTCACAGCCAAGATGCTGCATGCAGATATGAACTGTCAGTTTGAAAGTCATGCAAGAATGTCGTGACAGCCTGCCGGCGAGCAAATTGCCCTGCACGACGACTTCCTATATACACATGCAGGGCATCGTATACCACTGCATGTACACGTGATGCAAAGACTGCAAGTGCATACACATACATGCAAACACTGCATGAAAGCTGCAAGCATCACTGCATGTCTCTCATGATGGGAGTCTCGACATGGCCAAACATGCTCGGAACACTGAACTCATCACTTGCAAAGAAGCGGGGGGCGGAAGCACCTTTCGATGCCGTCGACGTCGGCAACCACCAGCACCGACATGCAAATGCTTTGCCCCGATGAAGTTAGGGTACTTATATAAGTACTTATAAATGACTTAGATAACCGATATAACCGTGTCCAAGTACTTATCTTCCACTTACAGCATTTGTCCCAAGTCACTTATAAATGTGCTAAGTGCTTATTAACTCAAACAACTACTTATAACCACCCTCGCTCACTTACTAAGTTCAAAAACACACTTACCCAACATGGTACACTTATAAGTCAAGATAGCCCGATTATAAGTTCACTTGCAGGCTTTACTAACCACCGCAACCCGCCCATTCGGATACTAAACAACACGATCCTTCAAGTAAGCACCCAGGTTTAACCCTAGGGTTGGTTTGAAGAAAGGCTCAAAGAGGCTGAGGAAGAGACTTAAGGGAGGTTAAAGGCGAATAAAACAAGCAGAAACATGAAAATTCAGCGACACACAAAGGCCGCACAAAATCGTTCAGCGGGGTCCGCTCAGAAAAGCTTAATACCGAGGAGGCCCCCCCAGGCCAGGCTGCTCCAGACAGGCCAAATCAACACCGGAACCAATCACGCACATTCCAACGCCAGCCACAGAGCCTTCAACGCTCAGCGCCCGCTCCTGCATGCATGCGCTGCACATCATGCTTTGCTGGATTTGAAAAACTCTGGTCGACCCAGCAGACACCACACGTCCAAAAGACTTCCACTCGATGAGCCCCTGGCCACAGCTCGTGCCAAGCTTTACGTCATCGACTCCTTGCGACTTCTACCCCCGTACCCCCACATCAATGTTGCGAAATGCTGCCACCCCGGATGTTTGGAGTGGGGCGGCCTACGACAGAGGTACGACGCAAGGGACAGAAGTAAGACACGAGTGATCAGCATTGATGCAGGGGTTAGGGGGAGTTTAGGGGGAGTTTCTGTGGGAATGTGGGTTTCAGATGCAGGGGCTAGGAGGAGTCTTTGTGGGAATGTGGGGTTCCACAGGGGAGTCTCTACCGTTCCACACCACTCACGTGGGCAAGTACAGGTTGCAGCATGGAGACGAGTGTCCGACGGAGCCTACAGCTAGCTTTTCTCAGCGACTCAGATTTGCCAGCTAGCACGTCTACCGGAGCGTGGTGTCCAAAGGGCATGGTGTTGCTTGTGCTTCGGGACGTCTGCCCCGCAGAGTGAAGTACACTAATTAACACGCCACGCTGTGGCGGGAATGCCCGTTCGGACTTGTGTGTGACACGCACGTGTAGTCTTGGGCACTTCACGACGCGGGTGAGACGCTCAAAGTACGCGTTTTACCACAGCGCGGCGCGTGTAGTACCTTCTCCTGGAGGTACTACACCGCCTTTTGCGTGGGAAATGTGCGGAAAAGCAGCGTTTAGTACCTATTTCGCGAATCAAATAAAGAAGTCTTTACACGCGCAGAGTCGCGGTCCAAAATGGGGTTCCCGCCACAGCGCGGCGCGTTTAGTAGGGTACTTCACTCTGCGGGGCAGACGTCCCAAATCGCGCGTTTTACCACAGCCCGGAGCGTTTAGTACCTTGGTTCTGCACGTACTTGACCAAATCACTCAGGGCTCGTGGGCCTTGTAGCCACAACAGAGCAGCGCGTGTCTAGCTGCGGCAAAGCTGCGGCAAAACGCGTAATTTGGGACCTGCACCCGCGTGGTGAAACACCCCACTACACATCACTTCACTCTCCACGCTGCGGCGGTACCACGGTTTGGGCTGCTGCGCCTGCCGAAAGAAATACCCTACTACACGCGCCGCGCTGCGCCACGCTACAAACCCCTAAACTTCAACACTTCCCTTTCTGGCTAAGAGTGGCACACAAGAGCGGCGCGTCCTGTGCCAATCTGCGCGCACGATCGTCCAGTAAAACCCAGCCGCGGCCTTGCCAGAATTGCTCAATAAGCTGAAACTTCCCCTCTGTCCGTACACCCACGTCCTGCCTCCGCAATCCTGATCTTCTATGTGGACAGACAACAAAGGAGACTGGCTTGCACCGCACAATACAGCGGTATATACAAGGACTTCGCGCCCACCCTAACAAAAGGCCGCCAGGATGAGCTTCGACAACAAGCTGGTCTACAGCAATTCCACGGCTGCTAGCTGTCAGATTTGAGGCATGTGCTGCTGTTGCATAACGATTGCAAACACAGCCGGTTTTGCTAAGATGTTGGGGGCCTTCTCTAGAGGTTTTAGTTGCCGCCAGCAAGCAATGACATAGCTGTTCGTCTAAAACGGCTGCTGTCACTGGCGGAGGAAATCGGTCCAAGAAACCATGTCACATAGCACATCTGAAACAGACTTCAGAGAGGCTGAATGGCTTCCACACTGCGTTCCGTCACACAGGACCTCCACGCAGCAACACCACTTTTGGTAACAAAAACACTGCTCGAAACAGACCCGTGTAGAGGTGGCCTCTCCAGTAGCATTATTCCCACTTTCCTGGTGGTTTTGCTAAAACCGGACTGCGAGCTTTTTTGAGTGCTTTCAGGTTCTCTGCAAGCACCGTCTGGCTTGCCAGTGTCGCAAACACGACATAGAAAATTAGGTTCGCCTGCAAAATTTTCGGGACCATTTTTGGGACCCAAAACCCGGTCAAAAAACGGTGCCTTTCAAACTGGACCTCCCCAGTTGCAACTGCACTTGGTACGACTATATGCAGCAAGTTTCAACTTGACTGTTGAAAGCCAATGTGTGTTCAAGACAAGCAATAACCGGGTGCTTCACCTCTCTCTGGGGAGGGTGTTCCAGGACTCCACTCTGTAGTAGTAGCTACGAGGCTAGTTTCGAGACATAGGGTAGAATTCGATGCTCGGAGGGTCTGTCGATTTTGAGGGCTGGAGGCCGTACGGTTCGCGATCTTAGGGGCTCCAAAGTGCTTGCAAAACGGGCGCGCGCGGCATCGGAAGCACTTCGAGGGCACGCGGAGGGTTCGCGAGCTGCTTGGAGGCGCTCCGTCGTGCTCCGGAGCTGTTTAGGAGCGACGCGCGCTTGCGCGCGCTTGTTCGGCGCGGAGGGCGTGGGAGCAGCTCCTAAGTTGCTCGTAGGCAGCCGGCGAGTGCTCGTGAGTTGCAAGCAAGCAGCTCCTAAGTTGCTCGTAGGCAGCCGGCGAGTGCTCGTGAGTTGCAAGCAAGCAGCTCCTAAGTTGCTCGTAGGCAGCCGGCGAGTGCTCGTGAGTTGCAAGCAAGCAGCTCCTAAGTTGCTCGTAGGCAACCGGCGAGTGCTCGTGAGTTGCAAGCAAGCAGCTCGTGAGTTGCAAGCAGGCAGCTGGTGAGTGGCTCGTAGGCGGCTGGCGAGTGCTCGTGAGTTGCAAGCAAGCAGCCGGTGAGTTGCAAGCAAGCAGCTCGTGAGTTGCAAGCAAGCAGCCGGTGAGTTGCAAGCAAGCAGCTCGTGAGTTGCAAGCAGGCAGCTCGTGAGTTGCAAGCGAGCAGCCGGTGAGTTGCAAGCAAGCAGCTCGTGAGTTGCCGGCAAAGCTGCTGGCGAGTGCTCGTAAGTTGCCAGTAAGCAGCTCGCAAGCTGTCGGCGAGCACTCGTCGGCTGCTGGCAAGTGGCGCGCCCTTAAAGTTCCTCTAAAGCCCGTTTTGCAAAGACTTTAGAGCCCCTAAGATCGTCAGAGCTGCGGGCCGTAGGCCCGCGAATCGACAGTGCTCCAAAGTACCGAATTCTACCCTATGTCTCGAACTGAGGCCTGTAGCTATCACAGAGTGGAGAGCTGGAACACCCTCCCCAGAGAGAGCAAAAATAGAACTTATTCCTTATTTCTTGGCCCGAAGAGCCGACTGACAAAACTGACAACCTGACAAGCCTTTTCCCCGGGCCCAGAGATTTGTGCTTCGCCTCGATGCCCGGCAGATCCTGCTGAAGGTCTCATGCAGGCAGCGGAAAGCCCGCTTCGGTCAGCGCTTCTCGGTGTTGCTCCGTTGCCCGAGCATAGGCTTGCGGAACATAAGCTGCGAGTGCCCACATGCTGCCCTCGTGTGGCTCCACCATGTGATAGCGGCGAGCATCAAAGCTCACTGGCTTATCGTGCATGTCCAGCCACCGCCCCCGCAGCTCTTGCTCCCCCTTCTTGCCGGCCAGCAGTGCGGTAGAATCCCCTTCGTCGTCTTCGATCCACACCCGTCCTCCTGTGTAGTCTCCCAGAGCAAGCGCATGATTCAAGTGCCCGGCCATGTTCTGAATGTCACGGTGCAAGCCCATGCGTGGATTGAAGAGCACGGCGATGGAGGTCCAGGTGCCGTTCGGAAAGCGGCTCTTGAGAAAGCAATTCACAGCGGCGCAGGCCTCCCGCAGGCCCGTGGCATTGGAGACCCCGACCACCCCGCCGTGCCCGAAAAGCCCCAGCGTGGCATATCGCTCATAGGCCCCCGGCCCCACCGCCCGAGTGCGACCCCGGTGCTTCCAGTCCACCGACCACAGATCCAGCAACCGCACGAGGTTAGCTTCGGTCGGCTCCTCCGTGGCGTTCCGGCACGCCAAATCCATTTTTTACATTGACAGCATTTATCACCAAAAACACCCATGCCCCTAAAACACCATGCCGCACCCCAATTTTTCGGGATTTTGAAGCCGCCCGGGGAGGGTGCGCCCCGACGGCCCTCGGCAGCCGGCCGTTTTGCGAGCCGACCACG